CAAACTCTTTAGTGACTGTCACTTGTCATTTTATTATATACCTATCATGTGTGATGATACTATCATAAGCTTAATTTTTCTTTAAAAAAAAATGTTTTCGCTACTGCTTCATTTTCCACTTTCACTCTAGTACCCCACTGACAGCAACTCATGATGTCGTCGTTCTTTCCTCTATTTTTGTAGCTCATAACGTCACTGATCTCTTGCCTCACGGTCCTTCGGCTAGAAGGAGAAATCAATTTCAGCCTTTAAATCACCGTGCGTAACTATCACGAACTACCAATGTGTGTGGCTAAATTTGGACATTGGTGATATTAGCATTGCACAACTGCCATTGTGCATGACTCGATCCATGCCACTATGAACTGCTAATCAATTTATCTTTATTGAGTACAGCGACAATGATGGCCCGAAGAAATTAGGAAGAATCATTGGCAGTATTTCTTGATTCTACTTATCCTTGTTGTGTAATGCAGGTAAAGTCAGTCGTATGAGGTCATTCATATACGAATATATCGAGATTGGTTGTGGTAGTTGTGGTTTTTGAGGTGGTTTTGTGGTTGTGCTGGTCATGTGGTGCTTTTGATAATTTTGAATGAGATTTTTGGGTGGTGGTTTTGATGTTGGCTACGGTGGTGATGGTGTTGATAGTACCGGTGAGGTGGTGGTTATTGTCGTAGCGGTTGTGGTCGTGGTTGTAGGGTAGAATGAGAATGGGATGGGCCATCAAAGTGTTTGTGACTAATTATTTAGTTGACTGTGGCCAATAAATTGGTTAAATCGGGCAAAACGATTCGCTTTGTGACTAGACGCTTCTTTTCAATGCTGAATAGCTGAATTTTTTCCATCATCTCATTTGTCTTACCTAGGTACGTTTTTTTAGTTTTTTATTTTTTCCCTTTTTTCTGAGTCTTTTATTGTACTTCACTTTATTATTATTTTGTTTAAAATAATTCTTTTGAATTTAATTCCAAGTTTTTTAAAAAGATATTATCTGTACAAAATTTAAAAATGACTTTATCTAAATATTTAAATAAGATTTATGCTACGGTGCTATCTACATTATGTCATTAGGATTTTGAGACTCCTTATTTTGTTGAAAACTTCGAAAACATAGATGAAGTTCCTATAAATTTATTAAATAGGATTTGTCTAAATGAAATGTAATTAAATAAACTTGGAAAAGGGGGGGGGGGTTCTAACATTGCAACTTGGTAGTTTGCATTTTCGATTTACTGAGATATTAAAGAAACAACAGTTAAGTGACATCCTAAATTCCAACTCATTTATAAACCGAAATTGTTAATTGTTCGATAAGTTGTTAAATTGTTGCTAATTGATTATTTCTGGACTATAGAATGCTGAAGTGTTTGAAGTTTTCATGCATTTAGATTTTAAAATGAAACAAAATCGACTTTCTGCCAATAAAGGAAAAACCTTGTTATTTTTCTTCACAAGATCGATAAATGGATGATGACTTTGTTGCTAAATGTTGATTGTATTATGTATAACACTTTACTTCGAACGAGAATTTATTGTGAATTTAGATTTAGATCTTATTGTAGACGACTTTATGTTATAAAACATCATTGGGAATAATTGTAATAGGTAATGTATATTATATGACTTTTTTGTTATTTATGAATATTACCTGGATATACTATTTACTTGGATGTTGTCAGTATTTCCCTCATTAGATTGGACCGTTAAGTTTGGTAACTGAACTAATAGAGTGGTTAACATTAAACGTAAATTGAAGTTTAATATTTTGATTGAAACATATCTAAGTTAAGTGACTAAATTGACATTTCACCCAAAACTCAGTGACCTAATCATCCTCCAGTAGGATTTCCTGTAATATTTTCAACCTGGTATCTATCAAAGAAATGAAAAAAATAGAAAACAACATTGGCTGGATTTGGCATTGTCAACGGTAAATTTCATCCATCGAACATTTAGCAAAAAATTCAGTTTCGTCAAAAAGAATAATAATAATAAAAAATAAAAAATAAAAAAATTTGTCTCAAGTTAATGAATGAATATCAATTTATTTTCAAATTTTATGAATGTTATCATATTTATAACAATATGATCACTTAACATCAAGATTATGATAATGTCTTTAGATTACATGTCGCTCATGGATTATATAAAAATTTTAATCAATCTCGAATGCAACAAAGAGAGCGAAAACTAAAATTGAAGATCGGTGACATAATAAAACTATATTGACTGTAATAGTCTAATTGAGAGTTATTAATTAAGTACTTTTACATCACTCTTTACCATACTTGCCTTATAGACAGTGATTTTCATCAATCCAGAAAAGATACATAATAATTTAACGTTAATAAATCTCAAAAGTGGCATTATCATAAAAGGGCAGCAAATATATTATTGAAGCCCATAAAAAGATCCCATGAAGAAAGTGTAAATCAAGACTTGAATTAAATGTTATTTAAAAAAAAGAAAAAAAGAAAGAAAAAAGAAAAAAAGAAAAGCCATTTGGAAGAAAATGTGAAGGAGACCATTTGTTAAACATCAAATGCTTCCTATTTCAAAAAAGACAATGACTAAGTCATATCACCATCATAGCCTAACGGGAAATTTTTTTAACCTTTCTTCAAATAATATTGGTCAACTTTTTCGTTGTATCATAGTTAGCATATGAATAAACTAAAAATTACACAAATATCCATCCGTTATTAATATTGAAAATACTCTTTCAAAACAAATATTGAAAAATGCTAAATTATTCACTCTAATGTTTGCATGCAAGGAACAATTTTCTATCGCAAGAAAAAACAAAAATTAATTGATAGACTGGTGCTAAAATAAAACACATCATTCACCAATTGAACAATTCGATGTGGATATTTAATACTTCTGCAACAATACAGAATCAACAGTTTAAATTCTTAGAAAAATTGTAGAAAATGGCATTCTTCTCTTGATGGAAGATTTTAACATTTTGTCCTCGAGTGTAGATCCGGCACCTTCGCAACCAAATTTACTCTCACCATTCTATTGGGGGAGAAGGTAAATAAAAGTCGTCAGTGGAAGCTGCAGAATTACTTGTACCCGAGCCACCCACAACGCCATGTGTATGTGTAATTGATTGACCAGGTGGAATTGGCGAAGACTCTAATTGGGCATTGGACGAATCGGCGAAAAGAGAATCCATTATATTATCATCCAATGGCGACAAAAAAACAAATAGAGGTGAGAATTATGGAGTCGTGAAATCCAAGTCATCACCATAATCACCATGCCGATACAGATCATTGCTTTGCATGTCAGTCTCAGTCTCAGGTTGAGTAACATTGCATTGATCACCAGGAATGTTCGCAAGAGGTTGACGAGATGGAAGAATATTACTCTGAATTGAAACTTCGCCGTGCATGTACGTAACAGGTTCATGAACCAACTGATATTGATCATATATGCTTCTATGTTGGTCGGGAAGATTAGCACCATGCAAGGACAACTGATCAAGTGCCGGTACATGATTATGATAAGACGATGTTGCTGCCAAATTTGTGAATTGCTTGATGGGTTTGAGGTTATTTTTATTTTTTTTAAATACCATCTAGAATTATTGGTTAAAATTTCAATTCAGTCCTAACAACACTAATATATATGAACTGATCGATTAATGAAAAGTTATAAAAAAACAAAAAAGAAAAAAGAAACTTAAGGGTTTTACGTACTATCAATTATCAATTAAAGAACCATATATGGGATTTCATGCAATTATCCAAGCAACAATAATAAATGAACGCAATTAATTAACCAAAGAAGATGAAAACTTTAACATACCGTCTTGTCATCTGGAATTGCATTTGTAGAAGAACATGCAACGTCCTTCATTTGATGAATCGTAAATTCATGTATTATCCAGTTAGTCTTTGTTCCTTTATTGTTATTATCAGATTTCCTTTCATAATAGACGAGAACCTTTTTCCGGCCAACTTCTTGGCCATTGCTTCGGACAATGATGTCACCTCCAGTGGCTTTCCAGTAACCATCAGCTGCTGTTCGGTCCGGCCGACCACCTTTATGATACTTCCTAGTTCTAGAAGTAAAAAAGTAGCCAGAGCCGGACCTGAGGAGAGGCCCAGCATATTAGGGGGCCCAATAAAAACTTGGAGCCCTATTTTTTTTTTTTTTTTAATTTTATATTAAGAAACCCAACTTCAACATTTCAGACTTGCAGTCTTGCAGTATTAGTGTATTACGTCTTCTGCTGTATTGCAGTCACCAGTTGCTTCTCCAGTCCTCCCTACGTGACTACGTCTGCAACTCAACTCAAGTACTCAAGACTCAACCACTTCTAAAAGACTAAAACCTACCGGCGAAGACATAGTGAGGCGAGTGACACTGTGACAGCATCCTTCGGCTCCGGCTCCTGTGGCGGTTTTTTATTATCGGACGGACTCGAGTCACTCGACGTTAGGAAAGGTAAGAACTATCGTCTATGGAGTGCCACTGTGCCAGTATTTTAGATCCCGAATCTTTAACTTCTTTTTCTAAATTTGAAAAAATTATAGGTCAGTTTTTTAAGAAAATAGTGGCTGAATTTTGTTTCGCTCCTTTGCGGGTTCAGATAGTGGCCAAAAATGTCTAACGGGGAGGCCGAAAACAATGGAGAAGGCGCAAGCAACTTTTCTGTTGTGGGTAGAGTTGCCGAGTTGGAGACTGTTGAGTGTTGAGGCAGTTTCTGACTTCTTAGTACGTTTTATATTCAAAATGCTGAAATTTAGTTTACCAGTCACCAGTGCAATGATGTGATCTGCTTTGCAATTTAGCTATGAGGAGCATAGTTGGCTTGATTAATTGAGCTATTAAACAATGTCTCACTTAAATGGTCGTAAAGATGATTTATATAAGTGATGCATTTCTGAATTTGGA